TGAAGAGAAGACACATTGGCCAGTTGGCTTCTCGAAGGCTTTCACAAACCGGCGTCATTTCGTCTCTCCAATTCCACCGAGGAATAAGTTTATTTTTATTTTTCATATTTTCTTTGTGTTTTGAGGTCTCTTTAACGATTGGATCGGTTTTCCGTGGTAGGGTTACCCAACCTTCCCTGTTTACCCAGGCTTAGGACCGACTAGTAACTAGTGAACTAGTTAACCAGGCAAGGTTAGTCAAAACTTATCTCTGATTCCATGTTTGATTAACTACACAGGTCATTTCCATCAAGATACCACCAATATACAGCTTATGCTCTTAAATATATGAACAGGGTTCATTCTCATAAAGCCGATAATGATAACCTCGGGTTGTGTGACCTACAGCACAGATGTTCTAACTGTATCGTAATACTCGTCAACCTGCTCGTATAGAATGCCATTCGTCAAATGAAACTCTTGTTAAACGGAGAAGGTCACCCTAATTCGATACACAGTTGCACATATTTATTTTCTACCAGATATTCAGTGAAACAGATTTTGAATTTCGTTACACTTCACAGTTCTTTGTTTTCCATATTCCCCTTTGATGGACTGGATAACCAAGGTTTTCTGCAAAATTGTTCAATACATAGAAGAAAGAAGTGGTCTGAAGTATTTAACTTACATGATACTTAATGAAAAATGTTTGAGCACCCCTTAAATATAAGGCATGCTGTTCAATGTAATACAAGTGTAATAGTTTTGTAATTTGTTTCTATGCATATTCCATAAGTACACGTTTAAAATCTCCTCTGAGGAAATTTTCCACAAGTGAAAGAGCTCAGCTTTTAGTCGCTGGTACACTCACTGATATTATGTTCATCTTGCTACACGGGTAATTAAAGTTTGTAATAATATACTTCCTTATTTAGAAATGAACCATCATTGAATAAAAGCGGAAATAAAGTTTGGAAACTGAATTGTGATTAGGCAGAATATAGCAACAAAAATGAGTAGGAAATTTCTTTAGAAGTCAATAGTTTCGAAACAAAAAGATGGAAAGGAAGAAGAAGGGGGTGTAGAGAAGACTGAAAAGCAAGACCATGAAAGGAGAAGCGATTGAACAATCTTCTTTTGTGTACACAGTTCAGGATGGATGGCAAGATCTTCGGCGATGCAGCGAATACGAAGACATACTGCCTTTCGGAGGTCTCTTTACACTTCATAAATGACGTTTGAGATAGGGTGATTTATGCTCACGATGTGTTCATATATAGCACTCCTTATCGCTTCATTGTTACCTCTTTGTAATCAGATGGGATAGTGCTCTCGAAGCTTTTAGGATAACAGTCGTGTCAAACGACCTATATACCTGGCTCCGTAATAGCAGATGAATTGATGTATGCACATAAAAGTGCTCAGATGTGGAAGTTTCTTCTTTGACTTGTTAGAGATCGTTAAGCTACAAGAGAATACTAGTCTCAACGTTGATGCAAAGAATGTTCCCCTTAGAGGGTTTGATATCCTCCTTTTCAGAGTGTCAGCAACAGAACTACCTCTCAAGTTGAAATTCACACACAGTATCTTTTTGACACGGTGGTAAGGTTCTGTTTGCGAGGTTTCGGTTCAGACTGTATGTTTTCATATTCCCTGCATCGCCGAAAATCTTACCATCCAAATGGAGAAGCCTGAACTGTGTACAAAAAGGAAGACTGTTCAATCCCTTCTCATTTCATGGTCTTCATTTTTATTCTCCTCTACTCCCCTCCTTTTTTTCTTCTCATCTTTTTCTTTCGAGACTGTTGACTTCTAAAACAATTTGCTACTCATTTTTGTTGCTATGTGCTACCTGATCACAATTCACTTTCCAAAGTTCTTGTTCAAACTTATTTTGATTAGCATTCACTAGTCATCAGTTTTTTCGTTTTTTGTTCATTGCCACCTATCAGCAAGGCGTATCTGCGAACTCTCTGGGACGGATGTCCCGCCTGAGATTCGAACCCACGTCACTCAAAGTTGCAGTCAGTCAGGTTACCAGTGACTTAATTCGAACCACGATTGACATCGTAAACGGCTACATTAGGTACAATAATTAGTCCCTGGGTAGCCACCGATTTCATCTTGTCTACTTCTAAGCATGAAAGCAAAGTCTAATACTTCCCTCTAACTGAATAATATCTATCAAAGTGTGAACCACAATGATGGCCACATCGCAAAACGATCAGTACGATCCAGTTAGCATGAAACTGGTTGGCCTTCAGTACTCAATCAGTGTACAAATTGAAATGTCTATTAGTATGCTTACCAATAGAATGTAAACTATAGAATGCTTTATTGAAACATTTCTTGCACCGCCTAATAAATGTATCACAACCAATCACTTATGGTGATAACATGTTAATTAACCAGATATATTATTCACCTCTTAGACCTCTCCTTCTCATTATGATAAATGAATAATTAAAATTAAAAAAGTAGATGGAATAGCAATGGCTTCCCCATAGGAAAAACTACTCACCAACCCGGTGAGTAACCATTGTGAATACAACGAACGGATAGTAAGACATCTCGATTTCACATGTCAGTTAGGCAAAACTCTTGGTAACTCAACTGAAATTAAAGTCTGGTCAGTAGTCAGGTTTTATAACTCAGTTGGTAGAGAACTGGATCAATAACCCAGAATTCACTGGTTTGAATTCTGTCACAACTCATAGTTTCACTTCATTTTCAATCATCATACAGTATTAAAGTTTAAAATTGTATTTGAAAGTGGAACATAAATCCAACAATACTTATTTTAGATATGTGGACCACATCTTAAATACTTTTGATAAGAAAAAGAAGATGAATGAATCAAGAATGGATGATGATAGATCGTATCCTCAGATAATAATCTCCCATGGACTGAAAAGTTCAAAGAAAATTTCTTTTTAAGATATTCTTTTCATGTGGTTAGATGGAGATCATTAGAAGTAACAATGAAACTTCCAAATTTAATTACTGTCAAGTACTCTTCAGTAGCTTGCTTCGAGATGGGATTCCTGAAGTCCTAATGAGAGAAAAGTAAGCTGTGGAGCGAATTAATTCGTATATGAAGACACTTAGTCAGCGACGATATTGGATTGAGGTCGTGCTATATTGCGAACTGGCAGTGGTGAAGAAATTGAACCATTGGATTCAGACGCAGTAACTCAATGGTAAATTACTGACCACGAAACCTGAGGGTCGTGGATTCGATCCTTGGTGGGGTCATGGATGTACATTGATGAGGAGTCGCGCACTAAGACGAAACAGTTGTCCAGTACACCAAGATTCTCAGTGTTTGTCCAAGTGATTTGAATGCGTAATGAATACCGACTTCAAATTAATTTTAGTTAGGCCCGAACGACGAATATCATGTCGAAAAATGCTTTCGGTCTGAAATCACTAAGGAGTCTGAAGTTATCTCTTTTGCCTCTATTGATTAAGAGTATTGTTATGCTTTAACTTTTTGTAAGAACTGGTATGGAATCATGCTCCACCGCTGTCCACACCAAGCAAAATATTAAGGCACATCATGCTGGAGAGACTGGGAAATACTCTGCATTGAGAACTACGACCGGAACTGGCTAGCTGGCTGGCTGGCTGGCTTCAGGTAAGAGAAATCATGTGAGGATCGAATTGCAGCGCTACGCTACGTATCATCCTAGAACAGAGTATAGAATGGCAGAATGACAGCACTTTGCCTCAACTTCATCCACAAAGGAAAGCCCTTCGAAAACTTCAATCCATAATAAATTTGGCAACTGCTTCAACACTACGGTCTTAGTAACACAAACATTTATCAACCTCATTCAACAGCTATATGCTATATACTGACGCTACATGCCAAGTGATTCACAACACAATGTTAAGCTCAGTGATGCCTTTGAAGTGGAGACAGCGAACAGGAGTAAGACAAGCTTGTCGCCTACTATCACCTGTCATCTTCCTGACTGTGGTCAACTGGACTGGATGATGCAAGAAACAATTGTGAGGAGCTGTGAGAAGATGGGCATACACCGGATGGACCGATGAAAAGAACCCAGAAGAAGATTTGCATTTGGCCAACGATGATGATTTATGTCCAATGTGTTGTCGCACAAAACTGAAAGTGTAGAGGCGAAAACCCACAAGTGGACAGGAGAGGCGAGGTAAGACAGGGCGATAAAGAAAGACGGAACTTCCTTCAGGTGAACGTAGAGAAGATACAGGTGATGGAGATACCCAACCAACAACAACAACAACAACAACAATAATGAGTAGCAGTCACCATGAACAGGAGAAATCTAAAGGGAGTTGTCTGTTGTCTAAGCCACCAAATATTCAGAGGAAGAAAGTGGAGATGGATTTGATTCGGCATGCGCAGAGAAGACTGTTTTGGGACATCACACACCAGGCCTGGCTGTTGAGTGGAACCCAGATGGGAAACGACGAGCTGGGCGTCCCAGGTGACGGTCACATGGAGGAGATCGTGTGAGGAAGAAATGAAAGCTTGTGGGCATTAATGGAGCCAGGTTGAGACTGCAGAGGACGGAGTGAAATGGCTGCGTGTTACTGAAGCCTCATGTTCCACTAGGAACCCAACTGACAAATAAAAATAATAATAATTTGTTATGCTTAGTTCTGAGATAAATTCTATTCTTCCAGATTTTTAACTACATCAATTACCAAACGTTTGAAAGTAAAACATTATTTAACGAGATGATATTATCCTATCAACACAACTACACCGTTTGTTTATTCATCACACATGAAACTGGATTCACCTTTGTAACCACAGTTGATTAAAGTTCAAGATTTTACCTAGCATCAAAAGAAGTTCATGCTTACCTACCTGTTAACCCTAATCACGGATTATAAGACATTTTTTTATGTTTATCTCGCTTCCGTTTTGTTTTTGTCTGAAATTGTTTCACTAGGCTAGTTAGGAGATTCTCTATTACCTTATGTAGTTGATTCACTCCCCACCATATAATAGTAAAAATGATGATGATGATAATAATAATGATAATAATGACTTTATTCTGAAAAGTGTTTCAGGAATACCCTCTCCAGAATACTCAGCACATCATATAGCAACAATTGCACAGATATAGTGTACACGTATACATAACAAAATGAAATAAGTAGAAATTACATTTTCAAAAGAGACGAAAATATTCACTCTATCTATCTATCATATTACCAATTCAATTCATAATATGTAAAAGGGAACACGATCATCTTCAGGTGATTTGATTTCAAAAACACAAGTTGATTAGTCACTTCATTTCTAATACTTTCTTCATTGCACTGTAGACCAATTGAATACGATATTGTAGAGATTCTATCCTCTGTAGTACTCACAAAAGGTCACATGTACTTGCTCCTTGTCTTTCCAGATGACCAACACGCTGAGAACATTGAGTGAACACGATGTTGAACATCTGATAAAATAGCTCCTGCCACATGTTTACATGAGTTAATATTTTAACTAGAAGATGTACAGGTACACCACTATTTCTACTGACAATCTTCAAACTTCTACACAATTTAGCATAGTCTTTTTCCATCAATCCGAAAAACAATAAAGACGAACAATAGACGAGAATAAGCAAGATACACGAGTTTATAAAACACAAGATGAGAGTTTCAGTTATACCACATACTCTCAGCTTCCTGTTATTACAAAGCTGTGTGGAAAAGTCGTTTGGAATTTACTAAGATATGGGAGGACCAGGAAATGTTTGAAGAGAAACACACACCCAGATAAATCACACATGTAACATTTTCTCATATGCATTAGAATGTGAATAGAACAGGCAGGGATCATGACAACTAAGCAGTTTACATCAGTTGTATTCACCTCTAAAACTGAAGTTTATATATAGGTTGACATTTTGAAGAATTAACCAGTAGACCATTCTCGGAGAATTATTGTCTAACAGTGGATAGGAAATGATTGATTTGAGAAGAATCTGTTGAAGAGGAGATGGGTATGGGAACTGTCAGTTCATCAGGATATTTGGTGAAATTGATACTAGGTGAAGATGTTAAATGATGCAGTGGGAAAGAGAAAAGACAGGGGAGAGGACAGCTGTTTGGTGAACTGCAGTCACACACAGTGAGTAATGAGGTGGAGCGCTTCCCTGTGAGAACAGTATGTAGTTTCCTATCAGAGAAATAGAGATACAGCCAGCTGATTATCCAGCACTCAGTATTAGTCCCGTGTAGTTTGTCGAGCGAAAGAGGTGTTGGGATGGAATCAAATACCGAAATATAGTCCAAAATGGCACACCTGACATACTCGACATTTTTATCAGCACTATAAGTGATATTGTGATATAAGAGAGTGATGACATCCAGTGTGCTTCCTCTGCTTCTACATGCAAATTGATTTGGATCTCCGATAGCCTTCAATGAGGGCTGGAGCACATGTATTATTAACTTCTGCATTAGTTTTAAGGACGGATAGGTAAGTGCAATTGGACGGAGTTTCGTACATCCACCGTGAGTGCCTGACTTACGTATGGTGACTATCTTCATATGTTTGCAGGCAGCTGGTATAGTGTTTTCTAAAAACGATCAGATGAACATGTTAGCTGATGGATGGCATAAAATATCGGCACTCTGCGTGAATACGATGCTTGATAAGCTGTCCGGACCTGAACTGTGAGGTGGGTTCAGGGATTTGAGACATTTGAAAAAATCTTTCTGGGTGAATTCTGTACGACTTGGTTAATTGGACTTAGGTAGACAAAGTGTGATTGGATAAGTGGGTTGAAGCATAAACGATTTGTTCAAGGTACAGACGTCAACATTTGCTTCTTTACTAAGGTGTTCACTACCAATGAGTTATTTAGAAAGTCTCCATATGCTGGAATAGCCTTTGGTTGACACAAGTTTCTGGTTATATAGTACACTCAGATGTTTAATTTCCAACCTCAATGAAATGTTCAATCGTTGAGCACCAGCATTATCACTTAGTCTTTCTTTTTCTCTTCTTCGTTTCTCAAACTGGGTAGAGGATATACTACTGAAGCTTAGAAAAAGGTTTTCACTACCGCAGAACTTGACACACTAAGTCACATTATTAATAGTGTGGTTCAAAACAGTGTTTTCAAATGACGCTTTGAAAAATCGCTTCTTGATTATAAAAAGTGTAATAAGTTTCCATCAGTTCTGTAATAGACTGAATGGAATATTCTATCGCTAATTTGAGCATTACCTCAAAAAAGGTCAAATAAGAGCGGAATACAACAAAGTGTGAGCTAAAAAACTTGTAATATAGCGTAGTATACGGTACACCGTATACGTAATGGTAGATATTTTAAATTAGGTAAAAGAACAAAGTTGCATAATCATTCAAAAGTCTAGTTATGAGAATGTGATAAGAAAAAGAATATGAGAAAATAATCAACTGCATCATAACGAACTGAATATCGAAAATAATCTATTAATCCTTATCAAAGTAGTAAAATCTTTGCAAAACTTTCAAGAAAGACTGTTGAGTGTAATCATCAAGGTTCCAACATTACAGTCTAAACTTTATACTTAGCACCACCACTGTATTGTTATGTAGTGAAAACTTATCAGTATATTATTATTATTATTATTATTAGTCCCTTGGTTTCCTAGTGGAACATGGGGATTCAGTAGCACGTCTCCATTGTGGTCTGAACCTACATCTGCTTGATTTTGTGTCCAGTAGGCTGGCTATCTCTCCATTTTCTTCACATTGAGACAAAGTCAATCTGACTTTTAGTGTAGTCTGTCCATCTGGTGAAATCAAATCCATGTCGCTCGCTTTGTCAATATCCTTGTGTTTGCACACACTGCCTCCAATCACCAAATCGTTGAATGTGCAGATATCTGCAAACAGTTCTCCTTTCTCATTCATCATTTCACCGAGTGCTTCTCGACTCATGATCAGTTCTCTTCCTGTGTTGTTCGCTTCCAGGTCGGCATTCATGTTACTCCACCTATTAGAGTGAATTTTGATGTCGCCAACTGGAGTCTTATCTAGTACTGATTGCAGTTGTCTATAGAATTCCTCCTTCTTCGCTTCACATGCATTATTTGTAGGTGCGTAGTGTAGCATTGAATGCTTGTGACTTTCCTTCCTTTCGAGTTGAATCTTGCTGTCATGATCCTGATCCTGGAGGAGACTGGTTCCCACTGCATGAGAGCCATCGATGTTCTTGGGGAAATCATAATAGCCACTCCCTAGGTGTGCTCGTGGTTTTCGTCTGGGTGACAATATCGAAGTAGATTACTGACTCTCTCTCCTCTGAGGAAATTTTCCAAAATTGAAAGAGCTCAGCTTTTAGTCGCTGGTACACTCACTGATATTATGTTCATCTTGCTACACGGGTAATTAAAGTTTGTAATAATATACTTCCTTATTTAGAAATGAACCATCATTGAATAAAAGCAGAAATAAAGTTTGGAAACTGAATTGTGATTAGGCAGAATATAGCAACAAAAATGAGTAGGAAATTTCTTTAGAAGTCAATAGTTTCGAAACAAAAAGATGGAAAGGAAGAAGAAGGGGGTGTAGAGAAGACTGAAAAGCAAGACCATGAAAGGAGAAGCGATTGAACAATCTTCTTTTGTGTACACAGTTCAGGATGGATGGCAAGATCTTCGGCGATGCAGCGAATACGAAGACATACTGCCTTTGGGAGGTCTCTTTACACTTCATAAATGACGTTTGAGATAGGGTGATTTATGCTCACGATGTGTTCATATATAGCACTCCTTATCGCTTCATTGTTACCTCTTTGTAATCAGATGGGATAGTGCTCTCGAAGCTTTTAGGATAACAGTCGTGTCAAACGACCTATATACCTGGCTCCGTAATAGCAGATGAATTGATGCATGCACATAAAAGTGCTCAGATGTGGAAGTTTCTTCTTTGACTTGTTAGAGATGGTTAAGCTACAAGAGAATACTAGTCTCAACGTTGATGCAAAGAATGTTCCCCTTAGAGGGTTTGATATCCTCCTTTTCAGAGTGTCAGCAACAGAACTACCTCTCAAGTTGAAATTCACACACAGTATCTTTTTGACACGGTGGTAAGGTTCTGTTTGCGAGGTTTCGGTTCAGACTGTATGTTTTCATATTCCCTGCATCGCCGAAAATCTTACCATCCAAATGGAGAAGCCTGAACTGTGTACAAAAAGGAAGACTGTTCAATCCCTTCTCATTTCATGGTCTTCATTTTTATTCTCCTCTACTCCCCTCCTTTTTTTCTTCTCATCTTTTTCTTTCGAGACTGTTGACTTCTAAAACAATTTGCTACTCATTTTTGTTGCTATGTGCTACCTGATCACAATTCACTTTCCAAAGTTCTTGTTCAAACTTATTTTGATTAGCATTCACTAGTCATCAGTTTTTTCGTTTTTTGTTCATTGCCACCTATCAGCAAGGCGTATCTGCGAACTCTCTGGGACGGATGTCCCGCCTGAGATTCGAACCCACGTCACTCAAAGTTGCAGTCAGTCAGGTTACCAGTGACTTAATTCGAACCACGATTGACATCGTAAACGGCTACATTAGGTACAATAATTAGTCCCTGGGTAGCCACCGATTTCATCTTGTCTAGTTCTAAGCATGAAAGCAAAGTCTAATACTTCCCTCTAACTGAATAATATCTATCAAAGTGTGAACCACAATGATGGCCACATCGCAAAACGATCAGTACGATCCAGTTAGCATGAAACTGGTTGGCCTTCAGTACTCAATCAGTGTACAAATTGAAATGTCTATTAGTATGCTTACCAATAGAATGTAAACTATAGAATGCTTTATTGAAACATTTCTTGCACCGCCTAATAAATGTATCACAACCAATCACTTATGGTGATAACATGTTAATTAACCAGATATATTATTCACCTCTTAGACCTCTCCTTCTCATTATGATGAATGAATAATTGAAATTAAAAAAGTAGATGGAATAGCAATGGCTTCCCCATAGGAAAAACTACTCACCAACCCGGTGAGTAACCATTGTGAATACAACGAACGGATAGTAAGACATCTCGATTTCACATGTCAGTTAGGCAAAACTCTTGGTAACTCAACTGAAATTAAAGTCTGGTCAGTAGTCAGGTTTTATAACTCAGTTGGTAGAGAACTGGATCAATAACCCAGAATTCACTGGTTTGAATTCTGTCACAACTCAAAGTTTCACTTCATTTTCAATCATCATACAGTATTAAAGTTTAAAATTGTATTTGAAAGTGGAACATAAATCCAACAATACTTATTTTAGATATGTGGACCACATCTTAAATACTTTTGATAAGAAAAAGAAGATGAATGAATCAAGAATGGATGATGATAGATCGTATCCTCAGATAATAATCTCCCATGGACTGAAAAGTTCAAAGAAAATTTCTTTTAAGATATTCTTTTCATGTGGTTAGATGGAGATCATTAGAAGTAACAATGAAACTTCCAAATTTAATTACTGTCAAGTACTCTTCAGTAGCTTGCTTCGAGATGGGATTCCTGAAGTCCTAATGAGAGAAACGTAAGCTGTGGAGCGAATTAATTCGTATATGAAGACACTTAGTCAGCGACGATATTGGATTGAGGTCGTGCTATATTGCGAACTGGCAGTGGTGAAGAAATTGAACCATTGGATTCAGACGCAGTAACTCAATGGTAAATTACTGACCACGAAACCTGAGGTCGTGGATTCGATCCTTGGTGGGGTCATGGATGTACATTGATGAGGAGTCGCGCACTAAGACGAAACAGTTGTCCAGTACACCAAGATTCTCAGTGTTTGTCCAAGTGATTTGAATGCGTAATGAATACCGACTTCAAATTAATTTTAGTTAGGCCCGAACGACGAATATCATGTCGAAAAATGCTTTCGGTCTGAAATCAGTAAGGAGTCTGAAGTTATCTCTTTTGCCTCTATTGATTAAGAGTATTGTTATGCTTGAACTTTTTGTAAGAACTGGTATGGAATCATGCTCCACCGCTGTCCACACCAAGCAAAATATTAAGGCACATCATGCTGGAGAGACTGGGAAATACTCTGCATTGAGAACTACGACCGGAACTGGCTAGCTGGCTGGCTGGCTTCAGGTAAGAGAAATCATATGAGGATCAAATTGATGATGATGATAATAATAATGATGATAATGACTTTATTCTGAAAAGTGTTTCAGGAATACCCTCTCCAGAATACTCAGCACATCATATAGCAACAATTGCACAGATATAGTGTACACGTATACATAACAAAATGAAATAAGTAGAAATTACATTTTCAAAAGAGACGAAAATATTCACTCTATCTATCTATCATATTACCAATTCAATTCATAATATGTAAAAGGGAACACGATCATCTTCAGGTGATTTGATTTCAAAAACACAAGTTGATTAGTCACTTCATTTCTAATACTTTCTTCATTGCACTGTAGACCAATTGAATACGATATTGTAGAGATTCTATCCTCTGTAGTACTCACAAAAGGTCACATGTACTTGCTCCTTGTCTTTCCAGATGACCAACACGCTGAGAACATTGAGTGAACACGATGTTGGACAT